TGAATATGTGCATACACGTACATGTGTGTGTGTGTGTGCTTAGGAAAATATTCTATTCAGGGTGTCAGCCCTTTTTTTTTCTTTTTTCTTTTTAAATACTAATGTTATGATTCTTTCCTGTTTCCTCTACACAAGGGGTGTTGGGACAAAACTAAATCCAAAATGACAATTAAGTTGTGTCAGTTTTGTCCGACTGTGGCTTAATGTTAATCCTCAATAGTAGTTTCATATATATTTATATATGTACACAAATAAAATGTGCATTGAAAACAACCCACCAGCTGTAAGGAGCTCAGTTCATCTGTCGGGGGTTGTGCCTCGTTCCTCTTACTCGGTGTACAGCAACCTTGGAAGATCGTTGTAGCCTCGCTGGCTACTGATAAAGAGGCCCCGATGAGAAAATTGATGTCAGTGCAGATTTACATGATATAAAAATAATTAAGAAAGAAGGTAGACTTAAGGGCAAGTGGTTACAAATGGCAGAGTGAGAGACTGGTTTTGGCAAATAAGCGTTCTACTATGCATGTGTAGCTCTCAAACAGAGGGTTGACGTCATCCATTTGTCTTGTAACCATGCAGCTTGAAGACACTGAGACACCACGTAACATGTGCATGAGTGTTTGTGTATGTGTGGGTGTGTGTGGGTGGTGTGTATGAGCACAGGCAACACGTCCCTCACACACACTCCTCCGCTGACATCAGGAGTGGGTTGATGTACTCAAAGCCTTCGAACTCAGACTGATCGATCTTCCTGACAACATCACTGTAACAAACAAAAGGATATGAAGATGAATACGTGTTGTATTAAAAGCGTAACAGCGTGACAGAAGGGGAGAGGGAGAGGAAAACTCACTCATCGTCAGGCGTAAGCTGGATGGGTTCGTTGGTGAACTGGGCGTCGAAGTTGTCCAGTCCAAATTCCCCTGAGATGTTGGGCTTGAATGGAGGGACCACCTGCTTCTGCTCCAGCTGAAACAACAACACAGACATCAGACGGGAAAACAACAAGAGTCTTTAAAAACATGGGATCACTCACAGTATTTACACTGGAGACTAATCCAGAGCCATAATGACTATTCAGATAATCGATCAAAAGGAAATTAGTCTGGCATATTCAAACAGCAACATTATATTAACAGTACACATCTACATATAAGATTGAAAACACACTAAACCCCTCTTTCTATTGTTTCCTTGGTTTTTTCTATTCTTATTGGTGTGAATGGATTAAAAATAAGAAGATTTTACAGATATGACAAAAAGACACTGATACACAACACAGACTCGAAAACAGATTTGGACAGAAAAAATTGAAAAGAATTAAAGCAGCAACAATAACATTTAATGTGCACAAAGTTTTCCAAAAATAAATCCTTGATATGACAAACACCCTGAACCTGTCCTTGTAGCTCTCATTACATTTCCACACATCACTCCTCAAGCAGGCCTACATCTGCTCCCCCTGCAGGTCAACAGGAGCAGTGAAGGACAGACTCTCAGGTTAGTGTGTGGGTGTAGCGGAGGGGGAGGGTGGGGGAGGTGTAAGCCGATCCCTCCAGACACTCTGACCTACTGCCGGGTCCCTGCTCCAGACCAAACAGGGACAAAAGTGGTCATAGTGATCCCTGGCAAGCAGCCCTGTCTGTCTGTCTGTCTGTCTGTCTGTGGCTGAAGGTCGGTCGGTCAGTCTGTCTGAGGGTCTGTCTGTCTGTCATGTTATCCACCGGTGCATGTGTGCCTGTCCATTAATTAAGGTCTTGTCGGTTTTCCTTTACAGAGATTAAATGTCCCAGATCATTTACTTGTTTTTCATAAGTTCACTCACCTTTTCTCCACAGGCATTTAGATTTGCAGTGGTTTTAACTTCTGAACTGAGCTAGTTAAATTAAATAAATGAATGTAGAACATATCTAGATATAGCAGCATGTCAAGGTTTCTGCAGGTTCACCAAGTTTCATCCAAGACATTTTAACGCACGCTGATACATGATGATAAAGCCACAACTATAAAAACCAGTGGGCGTGATAAGGCCTACAATTATTAACCAAGTGTAATTTGAAATAAAAAATATTTGTGTTCATTACTTCCTGAAATATTCCAAATAACACAATTCATTTCCATTCAAAATGACCTTGAAAATTAATTTTTCAAAAATACTTTGTGTGACGACAAAAACCACAAAAATTCTGATCTATTTCGTATCGTCCATATTTAGAAAAGAAACGGTGATCAAAAGATTAAATGCAATTTATCAATTTAATATTTTTAGTAGATATGTTTTAAGTTTTTATCTTTTTTTTGCAGCTGGTTTGTCATATAATCACATAAATTAAATTTGGGCTGATGGACTAAATGATTAGTCAATAAAGTAATTTTGATTAAGGTAATTATTAATTCTGCTTTTCTTAAAAGTTATATTATTGTAGTATAGGACTTTTGTTGTGATCAGATTTTTCTGTCTTGTGTTTAACTAATTAAAAAACAAACTGAGCCAAACCTTGTGACACTACTTTCATCTTTCATTTCAGGATGCCATAAAACTGGTGCACATGATAACGTGACAAATTTCTGAGACTGAGAACAGGAAGCTTCATAAATAACTCTGTCGTACAGATTCTTAAAAGTGATACCTGCATATTAAAGTCACGTTGAGTCTGTTTGATTTATATTGCCCTTTGAGACAATTTACAAAAAGTCTTATGAGTTTTATCACCTGACCAGATTTACTGTAAACACACGCCCAAATGTTAATTTTCAACATCCTGCTCTGACTTTGGAACAACACTACGGTTTAAGCAAAGAAAACACACATGGGTTACAAGTGTGCATCTATTTCAGTGCATCCACATGATTGGTTGTTTTGTAATGTTGCTTTGACTCCATGAGGGAGTGTTCGACTGGAAATGACAACGTGTCATAAAAATATTTCATATTATATACGTGTTCAATTTAAACCCAAGGGCTCATTTTACCTGCATCCGATACAGTGACTACAAGAACCAAAAGGTCATTTAGTGTCTGATATCACCCACACATCTGCTATTGTTACAGAAAAAGAAAATCCACACAAATAAGCAAAGCTGCAAATCACAGCTTCAGAAAAAAAGACATTAACCTCTGAGATTACTTGAATTTACTTTCTCAACAAAGAAGAATTAATTCAACTTTTTAATTGTTGTTCTTGTTCCAGCGTCTGTTTGCTATAAATAAATAAGAGCAAGCAGTTTCAGTTTAATATGATTTTCTGTCTGATGACTGTCGGTTGATGATCTGTCTACACTCTTTACTTTTCCATCTTTGACTTCATGTCTCCGTTAGTCTGTTAGTTAGTCTGCATGTCTGCTGTTGTCAGTCTTCTGCCTGGCTTGTTTGTTTTTGTCTGTCTGTCTGTCTGTCAGGTCTGTCTGCTTTGCACAAGGACACGAGTCTCATCACATCGCTATTAACCCTCAGCTCTTCTACCAGCCTCAGGGCAGGAGAGAGAGACGGTGACCTCATGCACTTAGATTTGACCTCCATGTCTAGCAGCAGTTTTCTGTTTTTCTTTCTCCGCAAGATCGATATGTGGATTGATTTTGAACAGTTCTGCAACAGAGGCGCACTGGTACCGACTTCCTTTATTAGAAATTAGAATGAAAATCTGAGGCATATCCAGAAAAGGAGGAGGTGGAGCGAGAGAGAGAGAGAGGATAAAAACGAATGACTCACAAGGTCCCAATCGACGTTTCGGAAGAACGGATGTCCCATGATGTCGGCAAAGCCTGTTTGAGGGTGACAGCCTAGACGCTCCTTGGGATCCTGAGGGAGAGAAAGAGAGTGGGTGAGAGGAGGAGGAGGATGATCGTGGAGACAGACGAGTCAGACAACGGGTAAGAAAAGGGGGGTGAAGGTTAGAAATGAGAGGATTTGCAAGACAGGTGGGAAAGAGGAGTTTTTTGAGTGGGAAAGTAATTTTTTTTTATTAAAGATAGGTGAAAAGGTGCAAGATCCACATTGAGACAAGGTGTGTGTGTGTGTGTGTGTGTGTGTGTGTGTAAAAGAGTGAGATGGCACTCTGACTCTATCTGAGGCCATAATAATGTTCTTGATTCTCAGGGGTCGGCAGGAGCCAACACTGTTTAAGATTGATTCAGGCCTGTCTGACCCCTTCTTACCTTGTTGAGAAATCCCTTGAGGACACTGGCGGCTTTGACTGACAACGAGCGTGGGATTCTGATCTGTTTTTCCAATATTACTGCAGGAGGTGAGAGAAAGGGGGAGAGAGTGAGATAGACGGTCCCCTGAGGTTGAGACAACAGGATAGCACCGACACTGCTTCAGATATGAGGTCGATCCTGTGGGACATCCTCATGTTGGACATACATGAAGTAGCCTTTCAATAAAGTGTCAATAGGTTTTGATAAACACACTCGGTCGAGAGATTCTTTTAATTCCCATCTATCCAAGACTTGCAGGAAGATACAAGAAAATAGCGACTATATTTGTCCGCCAGACAAAAACACATGTATTCACACGTTTCCCTGTCACAGATGGTATATGCCTGGCACCGGGAGAAGGGGCCTTCAGAAAGGTGTCAATACAAAGGTGTTACATGTGTCCACAGACCTGTTTATACCTCCGTTTATAAACCTCACCAGTGTGCACGTGTTACCTTGGAAGAGGTAGTCTTCTGTGTTCTGGTCCGGGTTGTCGGAGCTCCCGACGATGTCGAAGGGTGACCGACCCGCCATCATCTCAAACATGAGCACACCCAACGCCCACCAGTCCACGCTGAACCCTGAAGAGAGCAGATAAGAAGAGAGGAAAATTAACACTCACAGTGGCACATAAAGCACAAGGCAGGAGAGAATAGGAAAAAATATCAATAAATGCAAATAAAGCTAAACGCCAAAGTAAAACTAATTGAAAACTGATCTATGAAAATACATTTTAAGTAAGGATTTAAAAAGGGGGACACGTTTTTATACAGGCAACCATAGTGGGTCTAATAATAATAATTAATCAAATAGGAATATATGCACATGCATATGATGCATTACTTTATGACTGACTTTTTGAATACCAGCATCTACTTTGACACTTTCATTTTACCCCTGTGCATTTCCTACTGCGACAAAATGTTGTTTGAAAAAAAAAGGACCACTGTACATGCATGTAAAATAATTTGCATAACATGCAAAAACACTGGTATGATCATGGACCAGTGGAACTTGTTGCTATGATACCAAGTTTGGTAACCAGGGAGCTCTTTTTTCTATTTTTATTGTCTCGCATTTATAGACGTGTATGTGCAGCACTCAGTTCTGATGTAGGCACTAAAATTTGACTGAACACTTCTCACAACACCTTGTTCTTTAAATCTGTAACATATTAAACTGTGATTCATTCATGTAATTTGTGTGTTTGAGTAATATACTGTTTATAATAAGGTGAGATAGAAGCAGAATTCATTCAGAGGATGTAACGATTGCTTCTATTTTTACTTTTTTATTTCACTGCTCATATTTCTGTTTATTTGCTAATATTTAGCCTTTTTCTCATTTTCTATTCCTGTTTTCCTGTAGGCTTAATTGTTCTCATTCTTTTTTGCTTTCATAGTACTGCTCCACTGTTCATACAAAATCTTAACAGCTTCTCAGATGCTCCTGTGTAATGTCTGATATTCTCTTTTACAGCAACTCATCAGATAGCATTTCTGGTAAGTGCTCGTGTGTCGTAATTCTCACCGTAATCCTCTCCTCTGAGTATTTCAGGGGCGATGTAATTAGGGGTACCACAGAAAGTGCTTGTTGTATCGCCTGGTCTCAAGCCCTCCTGCAAAAACAAAAGATCATCAGATGTCATCTCAGTGGGCCGTAAACCGACACTTCCGCAGCTTTGCAGGTGCTTTTATCCAAAGTGCATTATGATATTACGAGAGCCGGTAAACGGCAAGGTAAACCACACCTTGCACATGCCATAGTCTGTAAGTTTGATGTGTCCCTCTGAGTCCAGAAGCACATTGTCCAGTTTCAGATCTCTGTAGATGATTCCCCGCTCGTGGAGGTAGTTGAGAGCGAGACTAATCTCTGCTGAGTAGAATCTGAGAAAGGCAAGGCAGTTTTTCAAAATCCCATATGTCTGAAGACACTCCATAAAACCAGCCTTACTCCTTTTAATGAGTCTACCTGGCATGTTCTTCTGGGAGTTTCCTTTGTCTCTGCATGTGGAACATGAGATCGCCACCATTCACATATTCAATTACAAAGAAGAGTCTGTGAAAGAAAGAATATGTAAGACATAAAAGAAGTCTGTCATGGTAGCTGGATGTGTCAACAAAGTAGGAGAGGACAGAGACCTAGCGTCCAGTTTTATATGAAATGTCAATTCTGTCTTTCTATTTAGAAAAAAACACTTTTTAGAATCAATAATCAGTAAAAAATCAGTATTTAGTTTTTTTATTTTAAATAATGCTGAGAATCACATTTTCTTGATGTTCTTGATCCAGTTGAAATTGTTACATTTTCTGAGCTCTCTGAACTACGCGGAGCAACGGAGTCAGACGCTTGTGTTCTCACACACAGCCACAGTGGGTGGGTTGGTTGCTTATGCTGCCAAACCTCAGCCTGGACTTTAACTTTGCTTAATAATAAATGAAAAATGTTATACATCATAAATCAATGCCTTGGCTTTGAAATCAGGTCTTCAGGGGGTTTCACCATGACGGGTATTTTTCTATTATCTTAACCAGAACCACACTCATAACTGTACTTAACAAAGCTTGCTGTTTATGTAAACCATGGAAGCAGTGGGTGGGAAACACACTTATCTGTCATTTTGAACCAATCGTACGTATTGTTTTGTGATGCACTGATAAAGTTCAGTACATATCTGTGACATTCTTGAATTACTTTTTATAATTGAGTGTCTTCAGTAAACTAATGGACAGTGTTAAATAAATAACACATTTTCCAAGTTCAATCATCTGTTTGTTAAATAATAAACATTTGTCAAAATAATCTTCATATAGCTTCAAACAAATTGCTCTTGTTTTTTTAGAACTTTTCTTGAACTCAGGAGCAGTTACATGAGTTAATCCATTTAAATGTGATTTTGGAGAGTTGACTGTTATTTAATGGTGAACAGAGTAGTATCGTAGAATGATAGGATTTCACTGGGCAAACATTTCTTTTACATTCCCAAAGAATGTGGTTGAGGTCTAATTGACTATCTGATTGTTTTTCCACATTCTTGCAGATTTTTGAAGCCTTGAAGAAACCATGTGACTCCCACAAGGGGAGAAATGCTATCACCTGCTTTCTGTCTGGAAACAGGAGTGGAGGCCCACCAAGAAGGGATGATTAGAGGCCTGCTCAAAGACATGCTTTTCTGTTTGGACCCAGTCGATGTCCTGGAAGAGAAACACACAAGACGCACCCAAATGTAAATCAGAGATCATAATGACGTAATAACCTTGAAGTTATAAAAGCTGAATAAGCACCAAGCTCGATCAATCATGCTACAAAGCGTGAAGCTTTGCTTGGGTATTGTGGGTAGCGGCAGGAGAAAAGGGCTGAGCCAGTAGAAGCGGCAGCAGCAGGCCTCTGTCGATGGCAGGATGACAAGATGTCTGGATGGCTGCTCACGCTGACAGGGCAGGGACAGCAGAACACTTCGCCATTGATCGACAGGCACTTGTGAATTTGTCAATCACACTAAGTGCATCTAATCAAGGCTAACTACTCCCGTTGCTGCAGGCTGTGCTGCAATGCATGTTCACCTAGATCAATTTTTGATGACATGACAGTTTATCTACACCTTCTTAGAAAGACTGATGGCTTCGAAGACGACTGTCAACTTAACTCAAACTGATTCAGACAAGACACACAATCACTTGAGACAAATGTTCATTGTGCTATGAGTAACAGCATGCATTGATTGTGCTAATTACATTAATTATACAAGACATACGACTGATGACTGCATCATTAACTAACCTCCTCATATCTCAATAAATGTAACTGTTGTTTTTCTCACACAGCTCAGACTTGAAGTTTCTTCTGTGTATAAATATCCCTCGAAAGGAGACAGCTGATCTAAACAAATCACAACATGCAATGTACGAGTCGTTTGTTCTGCTATTAATTAATCAGAGAATATGGATAATCTAAAGCTGAAGTAATTAGTTGACAGGTCGCTTAAATGAATATTTAATTGCGACTACTTTGACGTATATTAATAATTGAAGATTTTTTATATCAATGTATTTTATTTCTGTGGGATTGAGTCTTTACTTCTATAGTCTTGTGTGCACAGGTTGCCCATACAAAACGGAGTGAACTGCTCTCATTGCAATGGGAATGAACACATTCAGCATTCAATGACTCTACAGTAGATAGAGGTTTTTATTTGCTCCGATCGGCAGTGATGGAAACATGACACCCACGTTGACATTTCTTTTTCTTCTTCTTTATTTTGGTAGTCCAGATAATGACACTGCACCTTTTCCATTGCAACGTTAAGACTCACATTCAACTTCAGGGTACTGGTGTGTAAATAGCCAATTGTTTGTGTAGTTATTTATCACCTTTTATAGTGTGACTGCATTTAAAAAAAACCTCTGTACACCCGCTAATTGTGCTGAAAAAGAAGTATAAAAGGTTTTTGCTTTAATGCGAAGGTCAGGCATCATTCTGCTTTACCTCATCATCATTGACCAGCTCCTTCTTGACCACCTTCATGGCATAGATGCGCTCAGTCTTCTTCAACTGCACCAACAACACCTTGGCGTAGCTGCCTCTGCCGATCACCCTCAGCAGATCGAAGTCTGCAAGGCCCAGGCTTGACGGCGATTTCCCCGTGTCTCTACTGCTCCGTGCCTGCGGGGCAGTTACAGAGGGAAAAGCAAGACCACGAGGTGATAAATAGAAAGTAAACTCAGTGACAGTTTGTCAAGCAACATTTAAATCCATCAATTTCTCTCTACATAATTTGTTCATTGAACATCTGATTGAACTGGTGATTTGGTTTGGGCGAGACAGTGATTTCCTTTGGGTGATTTGTAAATTAGGTTTAGACTGCTCCCAGCACCACTTTTTGAAAATAAATCTTAGTAATGGCTTTCTTGTCTTTATTAAACACCATTATGCTGCCTCCATTAGATGAGGCACTCACTGTATTACAATCCTTCTCTGTAAACTACCACCTTCACCATTTCATCACCCATCTTCCTCTCTTCCCTCCTCTCCTGTAATCTGTTCTGTAGTGAAGTGTTTCCACTGGCGATCCATCTAACCTCCCTTCACGTGACAACCTGCCTTCCCCAGAGTCAGACGTGGAACAGAAGATAAGATCATTTGGCTTGCTCTCCTTTATCTCCGTCCATCTGTGTCCAACTCGATGCATTTTTTATCCATCTCCAACACTCCTGCTCCAATCAACAAACCCCCACCCCAGCCCCAAACTACATCCTGGGCCATTAATCAGTCTCTGGTGTTAAGAGCTTTGATAAAAGGTTACTTTATTAGCTCCACCAAAGGAAATCAATATCCACAGCACAGCAAAAGTGCCAGAGCGTGAACGCTCTCTATATCTCACTTCTACAGCAGGTGGAAGGAGGATCACCCAAATGTACGTCACAGCTAAACAAGCAGACAAAAACCTGCTTCCAATTACAGGTGATATTATTCTTTCTCCTTATCACACACACAGCAACTATTTCTATAAATACACACACACTAACACACATCCATCTAGTCAACATGACAGGTTGACAGGCTGTGAGTCATACATCGTGTTCTCTCACCTCTTTCTCTTCTCCGTCGTAAGTCAAGCTTTCTCTGGAGTCTTTATTCTGAGGGCCTGAGAGACGAGAGGAGAACGTGACAGACAGACAAAAGGAGAGGGGGAGGTGGGAGAGAAAAAAAATTGAGGAGAGATGAGACCAGAAGGAGAGAAAGTAGGTGAGAGACAGTCAGATGCTTTGTTCACAGCCTCGCGGTGCCAGTGTGATTTCTCTCTGCTTAGTAAGACAAGAAAATACCCTTTTGTATCCGACCGATAACAAAACCAGAATATGGAAAATAACAAAAACAATATAGACTGGCTTCATTTTGTAAATACAGAGAATATATGCTTGTTCATGGATTATTATACACAATGGGTTTTCTCACACCACCACCCACTGGAATTTAACATTACTTAAGTCAATTTCAGAAAAAAAACAAGCTTAAGCAAAAATATTTCCATCACAATGGTACCCTACAACTATGCAGGTGACCTGTGAGCATCCAGAAGAAGCTTCAGCTCCCTCACCAACAACAGGAACAACAATATAAGCTTTCTCATTCCAGTCAGCCTCCAAACCACCTGACTGGACTTAAGTCTGGTGAAATAGGTAAACACCAGCTGAACGATTCACAGGCTGGGCAGAACAAAGCTACACAAACCGTAGTTGATTTATCCTTAATGATGAGTAACTTATATTTAATAAGATTAATAAATCCAATGAAAAGCCTGACATTAACAATTGGTTCAAATAACAACTTATGTGTAGCAATGTAGTCATTATTTTCCCCTTGCTCCCCTCATACTGTTGCTGTAAATACTCATTGGCTCATAAATGTTGTTTTTTTTGCTGCAATCTATTATGTCTGGCTGTTTTAGATCTTTTAATTAAAAATGTATGTGGGTAATCAGTTTTTAAATATTTGAATGTACTAAAATGATCAAAGTGAACACAGAGAAGCTGTGAATGTTGGAAAGTACAAAGGCTCCATCCACATGTTTTTGATTTAAAACAGTGGTGTGAGTCTTCCATCCAAGAAAGGAAATCCCTCATCTTACTTTTCACCATTGTTCTTTATTGTTCTTGTGGCTGCAGAGTCGACAATGTGCTTCCTGATTACACTGACAAACTTGCAAACTCACTGATACAGAGTTGAAGAGCTCTTGTGGACCAAGATTTCTGTTTTAAATGCCATTTTGAAACAAATTAAAAAGCTTATAAAAACATTAGAAAGAGTGTAATGCAAAATATTCAAAACTAACCTGAGTGCTACAGTAAAACAACGTGTTTCCAACCCATCAATACATCTCAATATGTTTGACTATGGATTGTTGTATAGAAATAGTCCATGTCAAGTGAGTGCGTTTGATTTTGTTTGTTTGCGTTACCTGGCTGTTCAGTTTGGTCCATCTGACTCGATGGTGGTCCTGGCATCATTGGTTCCTACACAACAACATTCACCATTTAGTGAAATCAGCACAGAACTGGAGAATACAATCTTTCTGTGTCTGTATGAGACACTGATATTAATCAGCCACTTCACACCATCATGCTCATGACTATGAAATTTGTCACAGCTCTCACCTGGATTATCGGTCGACCGCACTCCAGTGTCACCAGTTTATGGCATTTCTTGTGCACCAGCAGTTTGCAATTGATGCATTTGTAGCCTTGTCTACCCAGACCCCAGATTCTGTCTGTACAGATGGCACAATGTGCTCGCTGCTCGGGAGGGCAGATGGAGGGGAAAAATCATCAAACTGGCATAAATACTCATGGTACAGAAATACACACTGCCTGTTATTGATCTCTTATTGTCCTTTACAAATGTTAATTTAATACATTAGATACCTTCCCCATTATAATTCAGAATTCAAAAACTTAGTGTCACGTCTCACCCTGTTGAAGCGTTTTGCTTGAAAGGCATGGCCACTAGCATAGTAAAGCTTCCTCCAGCGCCGGGCTCCACGCCGATATATGGATTCTGAAGAGAGGAGAGGGTAAACACAGACCTTTTTTTCACTTTGCTTCTCTTTGCTTAAGTGTCCCAAATTTTTAACTAAAATTAAGTGCCGGTTTCAGCTGTAAAAATGAAGTAAAACTCCGAAAGTAAAAGGTTAAACTCACTGTCTTCTCCTGGACAGGGCATTCCAGGTTTCTCTGGTATACATGGAAACACTGAGAAGAAAAAAAAGAAACAGACACAGTCACACTAAGAAAGTCTATATTTGATCGTTAATTTATTTGAGACAGTCGAGTCTGACAGGATCCTATGTGAGACATTTTCCTTCCTCTGATGACGGCAAACAAGTCTACATATATCAAACTTGTTGCCTGGAGGGCTTCATGATGACATTCACTCATGTTGATTTTAGGACGTTGTAAACATATTTGCCTGCAACACACAAATAATTAGGAAAAGATGTAATCTTAAGAGGCCAGTAAAGATTACATTTGTGTGTGTGTGTGTGTGTAAAGGACAGAGACGCATCGAGCTAGACTGGGGGCACGGTGAGTCATAGGCGAGGCATGTGCTCCAGCCGACAAGCTTGTTAACGAGCAGACCAAGCGACCCCCCGCGGCACCGTCACACCATCACATCCTCTCCTCCACCTCCCACCCTCTATTCATCCTTTGCCATCTCCTTGGTGTCCAGCATTCGCTGTACTCTTGACCCTTCACCTCTGATGTGATTAAAACTTTACATTAACCACGCAGCCCCTGTCCTGTCTACCCCAGGGTACATGCTAACACACACACACACACAGCCTGTCAATCAAAGAGTTATATGTTATGTGTGTGTGTGTGTGTGTGTATATATATATATATACACACACACACACACAGACACACACACACACGCATATACACACACACACCCTACCGACCCAGCAAGATGGTTAGCCTTGACCTCTAGTTCACGAAGTTGTCCAACTATTTGTCAAATGAGCAAAGCTGAGACAGGGAAGTGAACTAGCTCGAGGCCACAGTGACAGATGTCAACAGAGGAAATGATGTTGTTTTCACGGGTCAGTGCAGCATTAACTGAATGTTTTGATGCTTCTTGTTGGACACAGCTTCCATTCGTCTGTGTTCAGACAGTTAATGCAGACAGAAATAAAAAAAGGAATAAACAAGCATCATAGGCTTATTATTACACCCATCCATAGGAGGCACATCTTGTCACTTTTGCTCAATCCAGTGTGCCAGGAAAGATGAAGCATTTCACCAGTTTTTGTTCTAATACTGTCCTTCTTTCTTGCTAATGTTAGGTGCAACCGCTGCCTGTTTAGTATTCTATACAGGACTTTTAAAGTAGTTTGCCTCCTCCTTTTTAACTTGTCTGGGTAGAGCAAAGAGTCACAGATAACAGGCTTCTCATCTGGACCTCTTTCTGTCCAGACACCTGGACTGCATCAAAGTCTTACTGGCAAAAGTACACAAGAACATCCTGTGAGTCAAAACCTGGAACCGTACATTTTATGTTATAAATACAGTCAGTGTGAGAAGCAGCAGGCTCACCGTGGATAATGAGCTCCGAGTCTTTGTTGACTTCGTAGAGACGCAGCGCTTCTTCCAGCTCCAGCTGAGACGACACTGTACAGGGGTCACCTAACAGCAGAGGACACACTGTATGTTATTCACCACATTTAGATGCAAGAATTCAGGGGGCTGAGAGAAATCAGGAGGCGATAACAGAGAAAAGGTTTTCTTTCTTCACACAAAGTTTGTTCCTACAAATCCCTCAATTACTTTAATTAAAAACGTGTGACGCCCAACAGTCACATTTTAAGTACACTAGTGGGATACGAAACTGCAGCCAGGGGACACTATTTTCCTTCGACAAGCTCTGTAGTGAAAGCAATTCCTTGACTAAATGTGTTTGAATTTTAGTCCACTGCAAAGGCAGGGAAATTACTTCTGTCTTAACAAGACCCTTTGTTTAATTACTTATGATACAAGTACAAATCCTTAATTGGCAAATACTGTGATAATCAAAAAACATGCAAGTCCAGCTACTCAAATCTGGATTTTTTTCACACATAATTCTAAACTAAATATCTTTTGGACATTTGGGCTGTTTGAAGACACTGCCTTTGAGCTCCTGGAAATCACATAACTGGTGTTTTTTTAATCTTTCTCTTACATTTTGCGGACAAAAAGATGAATCAAGGAAATAATATGCTAATTGTTTGTGAATGAAAAATTATTTTATTTGTTTTTTTTATCAAGATGAAGACAGAGAAGCCACTATTCAAAGCCCTTAGTTGCTTGTATTTGTGCTTGTTCATATTAAGCCAATTACGTTTTCTTACCGACAGCCCCCCTACTTTTCTCCTCTTATATTCTACTAAGTTGTCATCTTTCACCCGTCATACCAAAACACTGTTAGAAACCCTTCAGGAGAAACCAGGCTTCCCATTCACCCAACATTCAGGTACTGTAGAAAGTTACAGTAACCAGGTTAAAGAAATCAGAGAACGACAAGATAAGAAATAACAAATTAGAGAAAATTAAGCTGCACAAGATCTGTAATTTCAAAATACCCACAGCTAAAATGTTTTGAGTACAAACAGCGAGTTATATAGGTGAGCAGCATAACATTTAAAAACTCTTCTGACTAACCACTCCAGGTATAATATGCATTTTAATATATCAACTTTAAGTAAACATTGAAAAAAGTGTGTAGGTGTGAGTGGGAGCATAAGAAATGGCAGAAGTCAGTGCTGCCATCTCAAATAGTTTCCCTTTAATTACCGAGCGTTATATTTAAACAGTGAACAATCTACAGTGGCAAGAAAAGTAAATTACAGTATTTATGTGGAAATGTGTCTTGAAATATGGTCAAAGTTTAAAAAAGTATGTGAACCTAAGGCTAATGACATCAACAAAATGTATTCACGTCTAGAGAGAGAAACCTTGAGTCCAATTAATGCAACAAGATTGGAGATGATTGTTCGAGCTACTTGAGGGACAAAATATAACTCAAACAATGTGAGTTCTTGGAAAGGTTCACAAAGTGATTTCAAAGAGTTCACATATTTATCACGACTAGTTCTATTACTTATCTTCCTTGAAATGGGTGCTCAGCTACTGACTACAAAAAGTTACAAAGCAGAATACTTAGCATGGGAAAAGAGAAGCCCAGAATAAAAGCTAAAGGTTTAAAGGAATCATAGGAGTTATACAAATCATGGTGCATGGTGGGTACATGGTGCCCATTGTAGAACACTACAGGGAAGGCTGTGTACCTGAAGTGTGTCTGAAGTTTGCCGAAGGGCACCTTGACACTCCACAACACAACTGGGGAAATATTTAATGCAGTGGTGAAACGAAAGCTGCTTTCAGACATTCTCCAGACATTTTCCAAACATTTTCTGGAGGGGCTGAATTTGACCAGCCCCCTGTCTGGAAAATGTCTGAGTGTAACCCAGATGAGAATATAGCGGGATTAAGTCCGGAGACTTCTCAATGAGGAAGTGGGTGTTTTGATGACGTTCTAACCCCCGATGGATGCAAAACAAAATGATTTACATCAGTAAGTAAATGTAATAAAGAGAGTCCTGCAGAAGCCTAAAATTCAAAAGAGATGCTGTGAAATAAACCCAAGATAGAAATTTACTGCAGACATCACGAGAATATGGCTGAGCTGAAGCAGTACGATGGAATAATGGTTCAAATGTCCTCCTGAGCGTTTTGCTGGTTTGATCCACAGCAACAGAAAACACTGTTCGTGGTTATCGTTGCCAGAAGGGGTTGAACCAGTTTTAAATCAAAGAGTTCACTCAATATTTTCCAACAGCCCTGTGAATGTTTAATGGGTGTGTTCTATAAGGACATGAAAGATTGTAAAGGTAGTATTTTGATCCACGGCTGACTGAACAAGCATAATTTTGTGATACAGGTTGTGAAAATATTATTACAGGGAGCTGAATTATCAACAGAGGTCTCATCCCAAAAGCAGGCCAGGTTACTAACACGCATAAAAACACTGAGTGAAGCAGTTCTGACGTGGACAATCACTGAGGGCTTCAAATTTTGTAGCCGAGCTGCTGCTAATGTTAGCTCGGCTTGTTTCTAGGGGCTGGATTGCAGGTTAGGATTCCTTCAGTGTTCATCATTATGAATTATGTGCAGACGACGACTCCTCCCCAAACCAAACAGGAAAGGTGATCAACAGATAAAACACTGAGTAACGCAGTTTCTGTGATGTGGACAGAGGACGTCAGGAGGGGCTGTTTGCTCAGCTTGTTTCTCTGCCAACTTAAGCTCCAGACATCCAATAACTAAAATCCTACATCTGGTTAAGGGATATAGTAACAAGGTTATATGAATATAAAAAGTGCCAAGACTTGAAATGTTAAGAAAGTAGTCGTCTGGAAATGTTGTAATGTCCAGTCATCTGGCCGACAACAAGCACTTATGGAAAACTGTCGGTGGTAGCTGTCTCTCCCACTAAGAGTACTTCATTACACACATCAAGCAGCTTTACTTTCTCAGACAGGCTTATGACTGTAGTGACTGTATATGGGTGGCAACCAGTGGGAGCTGATCTGAGTCTAATGAGTTTGGGCAGAATGACCTTATCCTGAGCAGAGTGACAGCTCCATCTTTCCAATGACACTATTACTGCTGCCTGACTAACTGGATGACAACAAGGAATTGGGTGGAGGGGCTGAGCAATTCCTTCCGTGATGAAAAAAATGAGCCTTTGAGTGAAGTGAGATGTGCGTTCATGCGAGCACGTTTGTTAACACATGGCACAAATAAAGTCTAGCAAATTCAGCTTGTGGCTGTGCTGAGGTGTAATCTTCAACTTAATATTTGTTTTCCATGTTTATCTTTCCTGTAAGGTGAAGGAGAGAAACAGAGAAGGGTAATGGCTGCGTACCTTCCTCGTCAATCCACTTCATGGTGAAGAGCTGGTCGTTGTCCATGGAGCACATGTCTTTCACTTCCCCGTACAGAGCCTCATATGAGATGGATGGTTCAAAATGGGTAATCATGATGTCCCTGCAGAAAAGACAGATAATATTTCAATGTTATATAGATGTGATTACATAGTAATCCAGTGACAGAATAAAGAAAATAGACCACC